CCCTAAGCTGGTTCTTGAGTGTGAGTGGACTCCACAACTAATTCCATCTAGTGTAGTGAAATGGGATGGCAAAGGCATGCCTTACTGTCTCTCAACGTTGGCTTCCCTCTTCCCTGTGAGACTCACAGGTATGTATACGTACAAAATGTATAGAATTGCACGTCATAAGAATAAAATATGAAAACCTCTTTGTTAAGTAATAGCACGTGTTGAATTCAGAAACGACCCTTTGCTGTTCATCAGGATCATGAAATTCTAGAATTGGACCTCAACTGGTTTTGCTCCAGCACTTTTTGCCACAAACATGTAAGACTGCTTCTTCCAGACTATCTCCTGCTGATGGGGGCAGTGTAATTGCTCACTTCCTTTGTGGTGTCTTCAACAGTGCCAATAAATGTCACTAAGAAAGAAACAAAAGGATTGCCTGGTGGTGAAAAATGCCCCTGGTGCCAAAATATCAGTCTGCCTCTTCACTCTTGTGCAATACCTTTAGACACAGGTCCTGCCATCGCCATTTAGGGGCTTGGAAGTTTGTTTACTTGTGCCCAAGAGTGGAGAGAATAACCTGTGCTGTTGTACAGCTCTGGCTTCATGGTACCTGCCAAGTGTTCCATGTAGAGAGAAACACCTTTTTTCTTAACCAAGTCACGTTCATTCCAAGAAGCCAGTCTTTGTTCTTAGTTGGTATTTGTTTCTGGAAACATCTTGCTTTATGTTTATTCCAAAGTTACCAGAATCTTAAACTTTTGGATATCTTCAAAGATGGCTACCAACAATTGCTCCCATCCCCCGTAAGTATGTGCTGCTCCTTCCTATCAGTGGTCCACTTTTACCTATGACTCATTTTGACTGACTGGTAAAATGATATGGAAGTGCTTCTGGTAGCTTCCACCTTTGCTATTGGACATGTGCTGACATGTCTTCAAGCTAGAAGCTTGGGCTAAACCACTAGGGAAAGGGAGACAAAGTAAGAGACTGTGTAGGACAACTGGTAGCTCCACAAGTCCACACTTGGGTTTCTTGAAAGTTTCAATTTCAAACTCCTCACTGCAGCTTTGTGAATGGTCCCTGCTGTCACCATAGGAAGCTAATGAAACATCCAGCTTTAAGTCCCACCAACCCAGAGAAATATTCTTCTAAGCCATGTTTTGGAATTGTTTGACACAGTAAAGGGTAAGCGAGACAGGACTTAATGAGGGCTGGGGGTATAGCTTAGTGGTAAAAGCACTTGCCTAGCATGTGTAAGGCTCTTGGTTCCATTCCCAGTATTGGGGGCAGAATAAAAAAGGATTTCTGAAGGGCTAGAATTCAGTTTGATCCTATAGTTTCCATTAATTTCCTTCTTGTGATTGAAAGGTGCACAGGGGAGGATCCCCATCTTGGGCAACTCTTATGTGAATGGCACCCTCAGTCAATTCAGCCCCAGTGTGGTCATTCAGCACATCCCAACTCTAAAATTGTTTCTGAGGCCTCTGACTGGCTTTAGAATTCTCACTTCCTTCGAAGTGGATTAATGTGCTTCTACAACTGACACACAGCCTGTCACTTCCCTGTTCAAGAATTCATGTGACCTCCTGTGCTCCTTGGATTAAGTTCGTATTTATCCTGGCTTTCAAGTTTTTCCATAAGCTGACTCAGCCCTCATAGCCTTCATCATTCCCTTCTACGTAGCCTCAGCATGCAGTTGAATTAGCCCATTATCCCCTTCTCTGTGTTTACTGGGAAAGCCTCCACTTCAACATTCCCCAGAAGTCTTCCATTAAATACAAAAGTATGAACAAAGAGTGCTGTGGTCAAATAAATTTGGAAAACACTGTAAGTACCAGTATATGTCTTGACTTCTGGACTTCTCAAAACCTCCAGTAAGCTAATGCATACTAGAATTTTCCAAAGAGGAGCGAGAACGTAACATTTCTGAAATGATTTGATCTGGATGGAGCTTCTGGAGATTCTGGTATGCTGGGGTCAGACATATTGGGAAATTTTTTTCCCCTACCCAAATAGGCCCAGTTAAAAAGGAATTCCTTTGAGGCCCCACTTATAATTTCACCTGAGGCTTGTAAGTGTCAGGTTTGAGCATGTGGAGTGAAGCCGCCTTGACTCAAATCTTGGCTCTGCCATTTCCTGTGTAACTTCAAGAAAGTGGCTTATACTCATCTGCAGACCAGGAATGGTGGTTGTGAAGGTGAATTGTCTTGCAAAGGGCCTGACATTCATTCAGTACCCAAGTATTCATAAGTGTCATTAGGCCCTGGGACAGGAGATTTAGTGCTACATGAGTGACTAGCAATCTCCTGGATGAGGCGAATTATTTTCAATTGTGATCAGTTTAACAGGAATGGGACAAGGTATTATGAAAGCATAGCAAAAGAGGATTGGTTGAACTTGAACTAAGAAGCCCTGTCTTTAAAAGGGTCTTTATCCTAGAACCTAAAAGATAACCCAGGAGAGAAGTAGAGTAACTGGGGCAGTGTCCAGTTGGGGAAGCCTGAGAACCTGGTAATGAGCTTGAGGATTGAGAGGAGAGAACAGAGAGCACAGGACCTTGGAGGTGTTGACAAGATTGTTGTGTTTATCTCAGGGCAGCACTGATCTGGTCAGGGATGGGCACAATCCATTTTCCTTTTTTAAAAGGCATGGGGAAGACTGGGGATATAGCTCAGTTGGTAGAGCGCTTGCTTTGCATGCGTAAGACCCTGGGTTCAATCCCCAGCACCACATACACACACACAAAAAGTAGTGGATGGCAGCAAGATGGAAAGCAGACACTGTGGGGAGGCCATTCCCTTCCAAGAAGGGCCAAGGGTGGCTTATGTTAGTGGAGCTAGCGGAGATGGCCAGAAGTGGAAGAATTTGACATCCTCCACAGCTAGAGGATGCATCAGAGGTGAAGAGTAACTCCCAGCTTTCTTTGGCATCTGGGTATACTAATGTGTAGCGATGCAGATCAGAAGTTCAGTGTCGGACATGCAGAGTTCAAGGACTACCCACCATGTTCACTAAGCAGTGGCTGCTGTTATTTACTTCAGTTACTTGCATTAACTTTGGCTCCCTCGAGACAGACTCCTTGTGGACAGGAAACGTGAGCCCTCCAACCCACTTCCCGAGGACCACTTATGCATCAAGCACTACTGTTTGAGCTGAGGGTATAAAGATAATTAAGGTGAGGTTCCTGACCTTGAGGCAAACTAATTAGAGCAACACATTTTCTATTGAGTGTGAATGGAAGAAAGTGTGTAAGGTGCTTTGGGAACACTGAGCAGGCAATGAATGGGTAGTTCCCCAAGGGGGAAACTTTATGGAGAAATTGACCTGTGAATAAGAACCCACAAAATGGAAAGGGAATGGCATGTGCTGGAACTGGAGCTTGAGGGAACATGGTGGGTTCCAAAGAGATGATTGGCAAGAAGGCTGTGGGCTTTCCAGAGTGAGTGCATCTTGGTTCTCTTCTAAGGACCTTAGGTCATCAGGGCAAATTCCTCTCACTTCTTTCATATTCCCAGTCCTATCTGAGGTTCTAGGGAAGTGCTAGCGTATTGAGGAAAATTATTAAATGTTTGGTTTTTTCTAAACCTCCCAAACTTCAAACACATGGATAAAGTCATAAACCCTTTTGCTGCTCCTTGAGTTGGGTTATTGAAGCAACCCATCCCTTGGGACCAACCATTGGATGGGGGGGCTAGGGTGAAATGGGCACTGGGGAGGCTAGGAAGCTCCTTAAAGGGAGAGTTCGGCAGTGTAAGACTCCTAGGAAGCCTGCACTGTCCCCTGCTCCCATATGCATCATTGGACATGACAGGTGTGAGATAAAACAGAGGTTCAGGAGCCGGGCATGGTGACGCACACCTGTAATCCCAGCAGTTTGGGAGACTGAGACAGGAGGATCTTGAGTTCAAAGCCAGCCTCAGCAACTTATCGAGGTACTAAGTGACTATGTGACCCTGTCTCTAAATAAAATACAAAATAGGGCTAGGGGTGTGGCTCAGTGGTGGAGTGCCCCTGAGTTCAATCCCCGGCACCAGCTCCTGCCAAAAAAAAAAGAAAAAAGGCTCAGGGTGTGTTCTGGGTTTACAATGAGCAGGCAGTCTTAGGACAGAGTCACTACAGGTCAGATGGAAGGAGCCACAGGTTGTGCTGGCACCATTTGGCTTCCCCTTATCAGCCTTCCTGTCACTTCCCTGGCACCTAGATGAAGGTCCTGCCCTCCATCAAGGCCTGCTTTCCCCTCCTTTTAAATATAACCTACTCCCACCCACATTCCCTGACAAGACTCAAATGTCCAGAAAAACTAACCTTTTTTTTTTTTTTTTTTTGAGTGACAGAAGCTTAACAAGTCTTGTGGCCTGGTGAATGAATGGATCTCCTTTACAGCTGAACCTCCCCACATAATTTCCAACTCACTCCTGGTTCAGAACCTCTCATTGCTTAGGTTTCCCCTGGGGCTTCGTTCTGGCTAATAGGCTTCTTTCTAGGCATTCTGGGTTCCTCTGTGTCACACTTGCCTCAAACTACAAGGGCAAGGACAAGGGTCCCCCCAACACACTGGGGACCTCCTGAGGCTGGAAGCTGTTCTGTTCCCCTAGTGCTCTTTCCAAGACTCAGAAATGGGATCACTGTGTCTTAAAGGCAAAGGGGCCACCTTATACAAAGGAATTGATGAGTGACCTGGGACCCAGTTCTCCAAATCAGGAGATGTGTGGATTTGAACCCTTGAGGTCATGGTTGGGGTAGAGAAGATGAGGAGCCTAAAGGGGAAAAGTCTCCCTTGCCCTCAGTCCCTCCCACTCCAAAATACCTGCTGCATCTCCTCACCCTGTGGTCTCTTCCCTGTTTCTCTGTGTAGGACCTCATTACCTGTGTCCCAAGCCTGTTTTCCCATCTGAGAACAGGACCTGGGCTGAGTAGGCTTCCTTTGCAATTCTGATAAAAGCCTGGTGGCCTGCTGACATCCTGCCCTCTACCCCCACCCCCCACCCCAACACACACCACAGAGAAAGCCATTCAGTGGTCATTCATTTATTGAGTCCCTGCTTGTGTGCTGTGAAGCTAGCTCTGGTGATGCACAACATGTGGGGGGAGGGCAGGGCCACTCCTGCTCACCAGGGTGACCACAGTGCATCTATGTACCACAGCTTGTCACGGAGAGTCCTGGAAGAAGCCCAGTGAGTTCAGTGTGGGGCTGGTGTGGATTGCCAGCATGCAGGATCGAAGACCCCGGGAGGAGAAAGTGGGCAGTGAGATCCAGGGAAGACGTCTTGCATCCTCTGGAGGCTCTCACTCTGAACCTGGGTCCTCATCCTCTGTGTCTGGGGAGAGTTTTGTACACAGATGGTGGTTAGGGGGCTCTTATGTCTCCCCTACTCTGAAAGGCCTTCCCTAGTCACTGCCCAGGGCCCTCCATTTCCCTCTCATGTTTCTTCTGTCTGTAGCTATCTAGGGTGGCAGAATTACAGACCTGCTGCCATATCTTCCATTATTCAATCATAAGTGCCTCCAGAACAGGGATGGAGCCAATCCTTAGTTATTTACTCTAAAGAAGAGGAAGCGGCATTCAAAAGTCCCAAAGGCCTGCCTGGGGACATGGGAGGTGCCATGGATCAGGAAACTGGAGACATAGCTTTTAGTCCTGGCTCTGTTATTAGCTTACTTGTGACTTGGAACAAATTGCTTTCCATCTCCAAAAAACAACAGCTTCTAAGCTTCCTGTGCACAGCATGCCTGTGGCACTCGTTTCTATTTGGTGTTGGGGTGACTTCCAGGGTCCTTTAAATGGAGTGGTTCAAACATGTCAAGAAAATCTCAGGGGAAAATAGAGACCTTTCCCAAGCAGATGTTCTATTTGGGGAGTAAGGGAGGGACCCCAAAGTCTGTGCTCAGAGGAAGAGGTTAGTCACTAGGGAAGGCAGCCTAGAGCTCAGGTTCATAAGTATCTTTGACCTCTGGGGCACCCATTTATCCTCTTCTTGTGTGGGCTCTCCAGACCTGTGACTTTTCCCTGCCCAATTCACTTACCAGCCTCCATGCCTGACGCCTGCCAGAGGTGTAAACTGGTAACTGTTTAGGATAGTACCCATCTCAGAATGATGTGCACTTAATGACATTTGATGAAGGCAGTGAATCTCTTCACCACCCTCTCAATAGGAAGGACTAGGACTTTATGGACAGTGAGGGAGTAAGGGCATGTTTCAGGATGGAGAACTACACATCACTGTCTGTGGGTTCAGCTGGCCCCCACGGGCAGAGCAGAGTGTGCTGGGGCATGTTGGGGTGGGGAGGGCACAGTTTCAGAGCCATGTTATTTCTGTTCTGAATCATCAGGGATCACCTCCCTACACCCCTACCCTCTCCCAAGGGGCTACTGCTGGTGGCTTGTGGAAGCCTGTTCTGTCTGATTGGCAGCAAAATGCAAGGCCACTTTCCTATGATGTCCCTGTGGCCCACCAGGGGCTTTCGCTTACCTTCCATGGATGATCCCCTCCTGCTCAGGAGGGCCTGGGCCATTTGTCCCAGCTTATACCCTGGTGAGAGAGAAAGATGAGGGAGAGAAGAGAGAGGCAACAGAGAACCATTGTCGTGGATACCAGTGAAGGGCAGAACCGGAGCCAAAGCTGGGACCTTGAAAATGGAGTCATTTCTCAATCATCTTGGAGTTGAGGGTTACCCTGGATTGTTTCATTCTTTCATGTCTACATTCATTGATTTCTTCTTTTTTTATTTAATTTTTTTTTTTTGTAGTTGTAGATGGACAGCATGCTTTTATTTTATTTATTTATTTTTATGTGGTGCTGAGGATTGAACCCAGTGCCTCATGCATGCTAGGTGAGCAGCTCTGCCACTAAGCTACAGCCCCAACCCTGATTTCTTCTTTTTCTTCCATTCTCCCATCTGTTTTTCCTAGCACCTAGTGTGTGGGGGTGGATGGGGGGGTGTTGGGGATCAAACCCAGCGCCTTGTGCATACAAGGCAAGCGCTCTACCAACTGAGCTATATCCCCAGCCCAATAGTGGGTGCTTCTTTTGGAAGAAACTAGACTGTGTATCTGGGATACAGAGGGATGGCAGATCTGGAGCCTGTGCACTGGAGGGCTGGGAACACCAGCTGTGTGACCTGGCAGGACAGCACAGTGCACTATGCCAAGGAGAATCTAGTGCCCAGGCTGAGGAGACCACACTGGCTGGGCAGGGCAGGTGGTCAGGGAGGACAGCAGCCAGGGATGGGCCAGAGTCAAGTCAGTGAGGCCCAAAAAGTATGCTGGGGTTGGGCTTGATCCCGAGAGCACTCAGGGGTCATAGGTACAGGCTGGTTTGCTTTCTTTTGATTTTGTTTTTCCCTTTCAGCTGAAAGGTTTTAGCAGGGTAATGGCTAATCAGATTTTCACTTTTAAGATCCTGCAGTATGCAGGGGATTGAAGCTTTGAGCACTTCTGATCTTTGATTCACTTTTCCAACTCTAGGATTTAGATCCAAAGTGATTTTGAAATTTGGCAGAACTAGACTCACCCCTGTCTCCTCCCAGCCCTGCAAGCATTCCCGAGGCATGCATGGACCACCCTCTATGGAAACAACCAGAAAGCCCAGCACTTGGCCAAACCACACTGGCCCCACCCTCTGCACTGCAATGCCAGCCTTGCATTTCTGATTTGCTAGTGACCGGGACAGCCTGCCCATCCCCAGACAGCATGCGGAGAGAAGGTCTGGGCAACACTTACCTGCTCTCTCTGGCTGGATGGGAGGTATTCCTGGGGGAAGGAAAAAGAAGGAATGAAGACTGGGCCACCCCTTTTGGGTGCTTGGGGAGGTAGGGCGGGGGGGTTCTTCATTGGAGCTATAGTCATTCCCCTGGTGTCCTCAAGTGACAGCAGGAGTGTTCCGGGCAGAAGGCAGTGAGGAGTAATGTGATACACACACTTTGGCCTCATTGGTGCCTGGCACCTGCTGGGTGGGCATCCTTGGGGAAGGGACTTCCCCCACTGGAAGCTGAGTCCCCACTGGTGATAAGGAGATTAAACTGTCATACTCAGGAAATCTTTCTTTTCCATCCCCTGCTCTTCCTGGGCTGTTGGATTGGGAAGAGAACTTGGAAATGGCCTATTCCCAAACTCATTTTGTAGAAGAGGAAACTAAGGCCAAAACTGGTCACAAGTTGGTTTTCTCTATTTTTATATGTATACTTTTTTTTTTTTTTAACTGCAGAAGTAGTCCTTGAATACTCGCCCACTGTTTTAAAACCCAAGCCATGTAAAGGTTTGTACAGTAAAAAAGTTCCTCTTCATTCTATCTCCCTCATTCTCTACTTCCTGTCCTTGATACAACCACTACTTACAGTTTGATGTTTATCCTTCTAGAACTTTTCCTGAGTTTGCATATATGTGTAAGTATGTATTTTTTTTAAACAAGTAGGCTTCTATCATGTATATTTGTTCTGTAACTTGCTTTTTTCTTTTAACCATATATCTTAGAGCTCTTTCCATATCTGCCCACAAATCTGCCTCTTTTGTTTGTTTGTTTTTTTTTTTTTTGAACTGGCGATTGAACCCAGGGGACACTGAGACACATCACCAGCCCTTTTTATGTTTTTAAATTTAGAGACAGGTTCTCACTAAGTTGCTCAGGACCTTGCTAAGTTGCTGAGGCTGGCTTTGAGGCTGGCTTTGAACTTGCAATCCTCCTTCCTCGGCCTCCCAAGATGCTGGGATTATAGGCATACACTATTGTGCTCAGCTGCCTCATCTTTTTAAATGTCTTTGAGGTTATGTATGTGCCTAATATATTTCAGTCTTTCCCCCATGATGGTCTTTATGTTATTTCCAAATTCTCCATATTAAAAAGAGTTAAAATGAATACTTTGATCAGTGGCATGCACATTTTCGATTTTGATGGATATAGACAGTGAATAAAAATGCCAGTTTCCTCATGTCCTCACCATCACTGAGCATGACCACTTAAGAAATAGGATGCACACCTGTAATCCATCGACTACAGAGGCTGAGGCAGGAGGATTGCAAGTTCAAAGCTAGCTTCAGCAACAGCAAGGCACTAAGCAACTCAGTGAGATCCTGTCTCTAAATAAAATATAAAAAGGGCTGGGGACGGTGCTCAGCGGTCGAGTGCCCCTGAGTTTAATCTCTGGTACCCCCTCACCCCCCCAAAATAGGATGTTGACAATAAGCAAGGAGAAAACCGCTTGCAACCTCCTTTCCCCCCTAGGCAGGACTCCCACGTTGGCAGTGCCCTTGGGAAACAGAGGTTTATTTTAGTAATTCTGTTTGAGCCAAAGAAACAACTAAAAAGCTTGGCTGGTTGCTTTGCTCGTGTATTGACTTTGGCCTCTAGCTTTACTGCTACTCCCCAAAGTCACCCAGGAATGGAAGCCAGGGACACCAGATAGAGTGCAAGATGTTTGCCCCACCATTAAGGTGTCTGTGCTCCCCATATGCCAGGACAGTCTCTATTTACGTCTGTTGCCTGTTGTCATTGTTAACATTCCCCAAGGATCATAATTTACATGGATGATCTACCCCACCTCATCTCAGGAGTGACCCCTTCTGGACTGGAGTAACTGATCCAAGCTTCACTGCTTTAACCTAGGGCCCCTTCTCAGGACCTATTCAGAACCACGCTTTGCTGGGCTCCTGCATGTGACTGTCACTCACCTTCCACCTGCTTCCCCATCAGCCCAAAGAACTGGTTTGCCTTGCTCCTCTTCCCCTCCTGCAGCTGGAGCTGAATGCTGGGGACAGGGATCTCCTGAAGAAGCAGAGAGTTAACAGTAGGGTGGGGGGGTGCTGTCAAGGAGGAAATCCTCAGCAGTAACAATCTCAATAACAGCAGCTCAGTCACAGGACACTTGCTGTGTGCTGGCACTGAGCTCATTTGCATATTTCCATCCTATTGTGCATTATAATATTTACCAGCTAACACGTTACCTACTAAGTTACTGACACTGTTCTGAGGGTTTTAATGTAGCAACTAATTTAATGCTCACCAAACCCTTATGAAAACACTACCCAGTACTTCTACTGTCACCATTTTACAGATGAAAACACAGAGGTACAGAGAGATTAAATATGTCCAAGATCACCCAGCTAGAAAGTGAGAGATGAACCCAGGCCATCTAAGATGTAAGGTGAGTAAGTGACTTGTCCAAGGTCACACAAGTGGTTGAATCAGAATTCAAAAGTCTGACTCCCAGAATTCTGCTCTAGGAAACATCCCCAACATAGGCAAGGAAGAGACCCCCATTAAACTCTGGCTCTCTTCCTTGCCCTGGGCACTTCCCCTATTGTCCCAGATTTGCCTACCCTGGGGTCTGTGCCTTCCAGCAGCAGGTGGGGGTGGGGGTGGGGGGGGGGGGGGGGGGGGGGGTGGGGAGGCTGTTACCCTGGGCAGTCATTTTAATCCTTGAGCTGACAGGACAAACATCTTGACCCAAGTCTGTGGGTTTAAGTTCTCCCTCCTTTGTTACCTCCAGGACCTTGGCTAAAGCCCTTTCTCTCTCCCTTCTTAGCATGAGCCCCAGAAGTGGTGGTCCTTTCTATAACCCAGAATAGGATCCTTCTGGGAACAGGGAAAGGAATGGGACCTCCTTTTCCAGGAAGCCTGAAGTCAGGCAGACAGGGCCCAGAGTATGCAGGCACCTTCCCAGAGACTGGGAGCTGAGATCGGATCAGGGGCTCTTTCTTCCATCCTTTTTTTTCTCCAGGGCAGTGCTGGAGCCCCCACTCCAGCAGGACCAGCGTGGACCTGTCTGGGGGCAATGGGAACTCACAGGCCTTTCACAGTCTTTTTTGTCCCAACTTTTGGGATCAAGAGTGGATTGTTTTCTAAGCTGTGGACTAATTCATTCACTTCCCATCTGTCTCCTCCCTGGGTCGTCAGTGGCTGGAGCAGCTGTCTCAGGCTGGAGTCGCCCAGCCTGGCCAGAAACCAGAGAAGACTCTTTGGAGATTTGGACCCATTTCTGAGAAGCTCATGAAAACCACTTTGCCTTGGTAAAAGGCAGCCTTCAAATGCAAGTGGGAGAGAATGGCCCTTTAAAGTTTAAATAGGACTGACCCTTTTCCTAGCCACTGGGTTTCTGGAGGGACATTAGAAGGCATCCATTCCTTTTCACTCAGGAAGATCTTTCCCTCAGTGGAGCCCTCCATACTGTTTAACCCAAATCCCCAGCTCCAGAGAAGACAGCAGGCAGGGAGCCCTGAACTGAGGAGTGAGCAGATCATTGGGAAGGTGTCTCCAAGCGCCAGCCTCCTACAGTAATGCTTAGCAACCCACAGCGTTTGGAAGTTTCTCCAGCTTTTTAACCGGGTCTCTCCACCTGTACTCTAAGTCCTGCATCTTGGAAGGCAGAGGAAAGTGAAAGGAGACTAAGGATGGGAACGGCAGAAAGCCCGCAGAACTTGCTGGAGTTTTTGACAACCGTCCCCACACGGCTCCATCCAGAGTGCGCCCTCACACAGCCGGGCTTCTCATATTGTCGGGTTCCCCACCATTTGGCATAGATTCCCTAAAGCGGTCAAAGCTCAAGGAAGATCTTGGGTATCATGCCTACTCCCCACTTTGCAAGTAAAGAAACAGGTCTAGAGAGAAGCAGGCGCCGGTGGAGAAGCTGACTTGAGCCCACGTCTCCCATGCCCGCTGCCTTCTTGCTACCCACAGTTCCATGTTTAAACCAGAAAGAAAACCATCACTATGATTGCCATGTCACAAGTCTTCCTTCCTTTGGCCCCATTTTCTAAGAACTTCCAAAGACCTCAGCATGGCCCTGGACCATGCTGTGCTTCACCGTACCTAGCTCTGAGCACTAGTCTCTTATTTACCTGTTTGTCTCTGGTCTATTAGCCCCTCTCCCTGGTTGAACTGGGAGCTCCAAGGTCAAAGGTCTTTGTCTTCTGAATCAAATCAGATCAGATTTTGGTTGTGGTTTGGGTGGTAGCAATGTTGGGTCTCCAGTTTTTAGATTTCTCCCTAGTGACAGTGCTCAGGGGAATAGACAAGACTGCTATCATATCAGTACTGGTCAGGAAATAAAAGTGTTTCTACATGTGTGAAAAAACAGTGACCTTGCCCAAAGTTGATCCCCTCAAAAGGATACTCTAGAAAATTTCTGATACAGAGATACACAAAATAAGATCTTGGACAAAGTGCGCAGTTTGCTTTTGAAGCTATGCAACTTTGGACAAACTACTTGACCTCTCTGTCTCTACTTCCTTATCTGTGAAATAGGGATGATAATAGTACTCTCCCCATGAGGTTGAAATACAGATTAAATGTGTTTAGTGTTTATAACGCATTTAGACAGTACTAGGAATACAATATGTGTTAAATAAGTGTTTACACACATACATTACACACACACACACACAGCTTATGCTCTCAGTCGTGTGAGCCGTGACCTCTTTGGTCATGGCCTTGAAGCTAGTCACAGGGGGGAGTCAGCTGACCTGCCTTGAGTGTACAGTGTACCGGCTGCTCTCCAAGCAGGTGTGGAAGGGATCTTCCACCCCTCCACCATGGGTCACCCCCTGCCCTGCACAGAGCTTCTCCCCAAAGTTACCTCTAGGATCAGGGTCACCCAGGGCCCTGCTTCAGCGCTGAGTGCCAGTTCCTCTCCACTGTCACCTGTTGTGTTGCATACTGACGGCCCTATCAGGAGAAGCAGGGTGAGGCAGGGTAGCATGGTGCGCGTGCTCTGACTGAGGACCCTCTGGGAGCCCCTCTCAGCCTGAAGACACCGTCTCCAGTGGCTGCCTTTTGGCTGCTTGAGTGTAGGAGGGGAAGCTCCCCTGTCCTCTGGTCCTTCCAGCTGTTCTGCTTTCCTTTCTCAGCTTATTTGACCCGGAGACATTTCCTGTGCCGCCTCTGGTCTGGGAAGGCCAATGATGGGCTGAGCTGCTCAGGAGGAGGGATCAGACCTCCCCCTGCTGTGCCCCCAACATTTGATCCAGGGCTTAGCACTCTGATGCAACACCAGCCTCACCTCTGGCTGCCTCCCTCCAGGGGCAGTGCACAATGGCATAGTGTGTGGGGTGTGCAGCGTCCAGCTCCAGGCCCACAACCCCCAGGGGACCTCATGTTGGAAAGAGGAAGAAACAGGTGGCTCCTCCCCCTTTGATGCCTGCTCCCCTGTTCAGAGAGTCTTCCTCCCAGAACTTAGTACCCCATCATCTAGCTCCCCTTCTGCTGGGGATTGAACCCAGGGGTCTTGTGCATGCAAGGCAAGCACTCTACCAACTGAGCTATATCACAAACCTTCCCTGTTCAGTTTCTCCCTCTTCACCCAGGCATCCATTCATCCATCTGTCTGTCCACCCATCAGAAGTCTAGAACCAGGGCTTGTTCAGAGACCTGAATTCCAATTCTAGCCTCCTCTCTGAATGACTGTGTGACCTTAGAACCCTCATGTAAAACAGGGTTAACGATAGCACTCTTTCCAAAATTTGATGTAATGAGATAATGCATGCGGAACACTCAGCACAGTGCTTGATGGTAAATATGTAATGCCTGTTTACTATTATCCGTGGCAGATAGGCTAAATTCTGTTTGGCATGTGCCAGCCTCTCTTGCCCTGCCTGAGACTCCAACCCACCATCTGCTCCCAGGACAGGGTGAGACTTCCCGCCCTCATGGTTTAGTTTGTCATTGCCTCTGCCCGGATGTTCCTTTCCACCTGGTAAACTCCCAATCATCCTTCAAGTTTGGTCCCACTTACTGTGCACCCCCTTATTAGGGTTTTTCTGTCTCTAATCCCGTCTCTAGCAAGAATTAATTGGCCTCTTTTCCAATACATCTCTTATGGTTCTCCAAAGACTGCTGTGAGAGGCTGTGTAGGTTGTATACTGAACAAGGGTAGCGCCTGAGGGGAGAGTGGAACTCAGCCTGTTTTGATCACTGAGCAACAGATCCTAGAGGGAGGCTGCACACCCTGGAAGAAGGAGGTTGGCTCCAGTTCTCCCAAATGGGCCAGCTGGGCACAGGGCAGCCCTGCTAGTTGGCTATGTGGTAGTTGATTGTGCTGTGAGCTCTTTGAGAAGGGGGCTGTGAAAGACAGTACTTGGCACGCAATTGGTCCATAATAACTGTGCATTCACTCTGAGTCCAGGCCAGCTAAGACAGAGCTAAATAAGGGCTAGCATCAAGTATTTGGAGGGGACTCCCCTCATCCAGGAATCTCTTTGGTGGGTCCCAGCCAGGATAGCTTCAGAATCCCAGAATTTGCTACAGTTCTCTGGTTCAGCCTATTTCTCCCAAGCCTGGGCTGGCCTTTGGTCCCTCTCAGCACTCCAGAGAGGTATCCTGTTGACTCTTACTTAAGTCTAAGGGCAGGATGCTTAATGCCTCACATTCTCTTTTGGGCTTTCCACTGTTGTTATCAAGTTCTTTCATACAAATGGGGTTTTACTGGGCTGGGGATATAGCTCAGTTGGTAGAGTGCTTTCCTTGCATGCATAAGGCCCTGGGTTCAATCCCCAGTACCACAATTAAAAAAACTGATGGAATTTTGCTTTTCATCCTCTTCATTTTACAGATATGGAAACTGAGGCAGTCTGGGCTTGCTCTAGATGACACTGAGAAGTAGTGGCAGACCAGCTTCCCAGTCAGTGCCTTCCCATCTTCCCTGGGGCCTGACTGGGAAGAAGGCTGCAGGCAGACCCAGCATGGGCCTTTGGACAGAAGAGATGGCCTTCCATTTGCAGATGTAAAGGGGGTGACCTTAGCCCCTAAAGAGTAAGGTAGTCTCAGTTTCACCATTGGCAAATTGAAGCTGCCCCTCATAGGGCATGCTGAACATTTCATGAAGTCCTACTAGGAAAGTGCTCTGCACAATATTTAATAAACTCTAACTTAATTGTGACTATTAGACCCCAGGAGCTCTGGATCTTGATGCAGGTCTCCTGGCCCCGGTGCCAGCTCCGGTCCTCGCGGGTGCAGGAACCACCCCGCGGGGGGCAGGATGTGGTGGGCGCCCAGCGGGGACGAGGCAGGAGGCATCTGGCCGAGCAGAGAGGGCGGCGGAAAGCAGGGAGAGAAAACCCCAAAGGTCCGGAAGGCCGGGAGGCAGGCAGGGCACCGGCTGGAAACCGCGGCTATTTGCAGCGTCGCCCTCGGGCTGCGGTCAGGCTGGGGCTTTCAGTCCTGGCGGCCGAGCCCGCCGCCCCACCCGGTGCCCTCGGCCACCCGGGCACGGCCTTGGCCGCTGCGTCCCGCTTCGCCTTGTCCTCGCGGCCCGGGCGGCAGCTGGGACTGGGCGCCGCTGCCAGCGGGGAGGACGAGGACAAGGAGGAGGGCAGGACGCGGGATGGCGGGTTTGGGTGTGACCCCGGGTGGACAGGGTAGGTTGAGGTGGGGCGCGACCTCGCGTAAGGCGGGCCGGGGCAGGTTCAGGTTCGGGCGACCCGGCCAGCGGGCAGTCTGGCAGGCTGTGCCCCGGGGACCGGCCGGGGGTAGCGCGGGGGGGGGGCGGGGGGGCCGCGGGCGGGTGGCGGCCGCCCGGAGGCTCCCTGGGCGCCGGGTGGGCGCGCAGGATTGCTAAAGGCTGCGGTTTGGCTAGGACTGCTGAGCTGAGAAGAAAAAGGGCGCAGGAGGGAGGGACTGAAAAAAGAAAAAAGAAAAAGGAGCGGAGGGGGACGGAGAAGGAAACACGAGCTGAGGGCGGGATGCGCGGGAGACCCACATCCAAGCGCCCGCCCCAGCCAGAGGAGGTGGGGTCATTGGCCCATTTTACAGGTCACTTGGGGAGGTGGAGAGCCGTGGGTAAGGTCCCCACCTGTTGACTAGCAGAGGCGGGATTCTAATCCTGATCATCTGCCGCTTGCGTGCTTTTCCACTTTGACTGGGAGCCCCAAAGAGCAATAGAAGAGAAACAGAAGGGTGATGGGGTCTTGGTTGCCTCTTGGGGACCCTCAGGGGACAGGGAGCTGTCAGCTAACAATCTGGTTCTGCCACCCGGGTGACTGAGCCTCTGAGCGCTGCTTTCGTCTCTCCTGCGCTCTTCCAGCACCCCCATGTGGAAGGTTCTGTCTGGCTGCCTCTTCTGCTTTCCTAGAACTCCTGGAGGTGCAGGAGCTGGCTCCCTCCTATGGCCTGAACCTTGTATAGAGGGACAGGAGGTAAATGAGGGATTGGGCTGCCAGAGACAGGCCCCGGGGGGGGGGGGGGGGGGGGG